TTTTTAGACATAACATTTGGGTTTAAGCATGTTAAATACTGGATAGTTTTAACTGTATTTAGTCATTGAAATTGAATAAATTTATTCAATGTCAAAGCTAAAAATTTAATAAAAATTCTTTATATGATATTTCGTATTATTTTATAATATATCAATGCCAAGTTCTTCCGAAAAGAGAGCACAATAGCTTAAGTGGTGAATGCATTTATACCACAGAAAAGAATTCACCACGAGCGCACACAGGGCTAAGTGCCTGGTGAGTTGAATAATCTCCTATATCGTATTCTTATTGGAAGCACACCTATGCAATGATTACAGCTAGACTCAGGTAAATTGGACCTGCTCAAGACTTATGTGAATCCTCTACACAATTGGACTCCTCAACTCGCTCAGGTAACACAACAAACAGAATTTGAGAGCTGAGCAAATAAAGTTAGCGCGGAACACCCTGTATTATGAGAGATTTCATCAAAATAAAAACTGACTGTGTAATGCAACGTCAGGATTTCACTTTGGGCATAAATTACATTACGATCATCTCTGTGTTATGGCAGGATCGATTGATTGCGATTGCGTTTGAAGTGGAACGAACCAGTTCCGGCAAAAACCTGTCGCTGGAGCGTACCTTCAACTCGTATTTAGTTCAACTTTAATTGTTTTTTAACCAGCTCTGATGCTGCTTCTGCCCCTTCGGCTGCTTCGGGTGCCAAGTCTTGTAATTACCGATAGCCCAAGTGAAATTTGATTGATTTTTTGCGCACTTCTGGTCTGCCCCGCGGCCCATCTAAAACATAAATGTTTCAAGCTTAACGCGCTCAGAATACGAATTCCAAATTTATGCCTGACCGCTCGGCCGACCACCTACATGAAGGCGATCATAAATTTCGCTCGGTCAGCATTTTTTGGGGGAGCTTTTGAATTGGATTTTGATTGTGGCTGTATGCGAATTGAAAATGGAATTTCGCTGAAGGTGTTATGAGTGCCTTGTGGCTTATCAGCGACTCTGTGAACCCACTGTCGTGGGCTCTGAGAGCGCTGCTGTTGATAAGGCTTAGGAGTCGACAGGCGTACGGGTTGACTGCCGGCTGGCCGGCTGGCCGACTGACTGGTGAGGCAACCTGTGGACTTGGCTCGGCTGGTGGCCTTACTGCTGCTGCTTAGTTGCTGCTTGAGTTGAGAGCGCGCTGTACATAATTACATAATGGCGCTGTTAACCGTAATAAGCGCGACTTCTGCTCAACCGCCCAATGTGCGCGCTCAGTGTGTGTCCTGGCAAAAGGATTTTTGCTATTCTCGCAGCTCTTTCAGCTGCTTGGCCATAATTTACAGCGCTGCCAGTTGGCCTGGCTTGGCCTGGGCTGCCGTTCTCGTTGCACAAATTGCAGCACACTTTTGTTGCCACTTTGCCGCCAACGTTGCTGCAGCAATTACGGACAACGTTGTCGGCGTTGTCGGCGTCGTCGTTGCCGTCGACGAAGTCGCCGCTGAGCATCATTAAAACCAAAGGTGACAAAAATTAGTAAACAAAGTGTTGAAAATTATGAGCAGCTACTGCGCGAGTGCTTCAAGGCGTGTGGCAGCAGCACCACATAGACGACAACGAAAAAGGAGAAGAAGAAGAAGAGGAAGATGGAGAAGAGGAAGAGCTAACTACCAGGTGTAAGTGCCACTGGTTTGGTTGGGTGGCAACGCCTGCTTCGAGTGTGTTGAGCTTTATTTATGAGTCTGTTGAGCCAACTTCAAGCTCAATTTGTGAACCGATTGGACTCTATAAATTGATGAACTGCATCAAATCAGCGTCAAGCAGTTTCATTTAAATACTGCAACTATTACTAAGATAATTTCAATAAATCTCTTGATATTTTGAATATTTATTATAGGTAAAAGTTTTTAATTTTTGTGAAATATTTTCATTGAATATGTTTTTTTATTTTAATAAGAATACAAAATTAAATTTTGTATTTTTATAAAATATGTTTATTGAAAATACAAATAAACGAAGAGCTAATCCGACACTTTATAGCATTAAAAAAAAAATTACAAATTTTTTTCTTTATTTATATTTAAAAAAAAAATTGGGTTTAAAATAATATCAAACAATATTTTTAGATTGTATAATTTTTGTACAAAATTTTGGAATCACTATTTAACGAAAATAACGAAAATTTTCAAGGTGTGTAAGAATATGTGAAAGAGCGTTGCATTTGTAACATAATATATATTTCTTAAAATATTTATTCAATACTGCTAATTGAAATAAAGAAACTCGAATCTGTTTTTAATTTTTTTTTTTTTTTTTTTTTTTTTTTTGCATTTTTGCCTAACAAATGCAACTTGTAAGTCTGTTTACATAATGTAAACTTATTTCTGAAACTGTTTTACAAGTGTTTACAGCTGCTGAGAGTGCCACAATAATTAACTAACAATGGTCACATAATTATTATTATTACTGCGTGCTCATTCGCTCGCCAAGTGGATGTCTAATGGCTCATCACTTGACCAGCGAAAACAACTATGAAAACACACATGAAACCAGAAGTGGGACGACAACCACAACAACAGCAACAACAACAATCAATTAAAATCAAAATCATAATTATCACAGCAATTTAAAATGTAACTTAGGATAGATGGATAGATCAAGAGTCGAGACTGCGCTGAACACTCACTTTTGATTGGATCGGCTGTGGACTCACCTGCGATTGCCATCCAGGGGTAGAAGGTGTGATTGCTGGCCTGGTGTAAACTGCTGGCAGCCGCTGTTTGGGCCGCCGCAGCGCCCGAGATGGTGCAATTGGCATTCCAGGCTGTGGCCGCGCCAACACCGCCGCCCACGCCGCTGGCTGTGTTCTGTGGTACGCCGCCGGCGCTGCCGTTGCCGCCGCCGGCACTGCCGCCACCGCGATGGCTCACTGGGCTGCCGCCCGATGTGTCCAAGTAGCCGCCGACGCGGGAGTCGGGCGTGCAGGCGGACGGACGGACGGGCATGCCACCGCCGCCCGCATTGTTCTGTCCGTTGGCAGCGTTGGGCGCATTGGAGCCGTTGGTGGTGTTGCCAGCGCTGGCACCGCCGCCACCACCGCCACCGCCTCCGCCATTGGTGCCGCCCGTGTTCCAAATGTCCTTGTAGCCATTGACGGCGTCCGCCTTGATGTTGAGGCAGTCCTGTTTGTAGGCGCTGCCGGCATCGCCGTAGATCTTGTTGCAGGCGGCCGTGATGCTCGCGTCGTACGGCGAGTCCTGTGTGGTGCGCTGCAGATGGTGGTTGGCGTACGGTGACATGCCCAGCGATAGCGGGAAGCCTCTGTAGGCGGCCGCCGCGGCGCTGGCCGTCGTCTGATCGTGATGCCCGCCCGTGCCCATGGCCATGCCCGTTGCCTGGTGCGGATGGCCATAGAAGCCGGAGGCCTGCTCGAAGTAGGAGTTCATGTTGTGGCTGCTGCTGGCGGTGAGAATTTTGGCGGCTAACTGTCAGCAGCTACAGCCGCTACTAAAAGTAACTGCACGCGGCGCACGGCACTCGTATACAAACACTCAACACTCAGTTGTGTTCCACAAAGGGCATTGCCTAAGCAATCCTTTGATTAATTCAGTTTAAGTTAATTAACTGCGATATTTTTGTTGTGCATAAAATTTTGGTTTGCTGTTTTTTGTTATTTTTTTTTTTTTCTTTTAAAAAATGTTTTAACAATATATTTTTAATTTAATTTTAATTGTCGTTAATTGTAATTTTATTTTAAAATTATTTATTGCACTTTTGCCGGCCGTAGAATTTTATAAAATATATTTAATTCTGTTTAAATTAAAGTTTCGTATACTTGATTTTGGTTTCGTTTTTAATTTTAGAATTTAAATTTTAGATTTTGTTGTTTGTTGTTTTCCAATTGCACGCGTGTTTTATTCACTTGACACTGACACCATAATTCATATAAAAATTTGTGTTGTTTTTGAATGGATAAATATTGATTTGGAGTATTCGATGTGGCGCCTATTGAATCACTTTCAATTCAATGCCTCGTTTAGCATTCATAGCGTTGTCATTGTTGTGATAACAAACTACTATTATTACGATTATTATTATTATTATTATTATTGGTATTATTGCTGTTATTGTTATTATAATTATTATTGTTATTAGCGGCGACGACCGACGACAGCGACGAGCGCGCGCTTCACGTTCAACTGACGCTTCAGCTGAAGATTCAAATTGAAATTCAAATTCAGATACAGATACAAATGCAGATGCGGATGCAGATGCAGATGCTGATGCAGATGCAGATGCAGATTGAGATATACACTGGCCACTGGTCTACAGATACGTATGCGAGTGCGAGCTCAGAGCGCGAGGGCCATACAACATTAAAATTGAGCGTACAATGCCAATAACAATAATGCCGCTGATAATGTGGGATAATAAAACAAAGCGCGCGCCTGTTATCCAAACCGTTGCCATCGAACGAATGTGCCACCAAATCGCAGTTGGTTGTGTTTTGACTGAGACTCAACTAAACTCAACTGAATGGCAACGGCTGGGCCGCCGCCAGCAGCGAGCGACGACGGCAGCGGCTGAGGCAGCGGCAGCGGCAGCAGCGCTTTGCCTGTAGAGCTCCCCCGATACGCAGCAGCGACAGGCAGGCAGCTCGCTGGAAGAAGAAGCAGCCAAAACAGAGAGGCCAAACAACTAAATGAATGAGCGAAACTGAAACAGAATGAGCCACAGTCGCTTCACTCGCTGCGCTCACCAAGTGATAAGGGCTACTCAAACCAGCGGCTCGCTCCCTCTCTCTCATCAGTGAATCCGACTACGAGTCGCCGTGGCTGCTCGCCTGCGTTCATTCCGGGCCGTTTGAGCGCGTTCATTCGAACATGTTCGAGCGCTCGGCTCGCTCTGAGTGGAGAATTCATCATTTGCGCGTGTGGAAAATGCGCTCTGACTGTGGAAATTCATCATGGAGGAGGGCTGATTTTTCTTATAGGCCAGACAGCGCACGTTTACACTCAAAAGATTTTCGCCACTATTGCACTCAATTTGACAAACGCTCGACGCTCGACGCTCAACGCTCGATGCTCGCCAGTTACCAGTTGGCAGTTGGCCGTTGCACGCAACGCGCTGCAGATACAAATTCACATTCAGATACAGATACAATGCTGGCTAGCCATGATTTCATGACAAATTTTCCGCTGCATTTTCTGCGAATTTATTTCGCATAGGAAAATAATTGAACAATACTAATTAATAAATAATAATAAGCAGAGTTGATTAATACACTTCATTGATAAAATATAAAATATCAAAGTAGATCTTGGCTAAAAAGTTTTGGGTAAGGTTTTTTTTAGCATTTAAAAAAATAAAATTAAAATTAAATTCTTTTAAAATTAAAAAAAAATTAAATTTAGGTTTGATACAAGTGTACATTAAGATATACATATTTTAAAACATTTTCTGAGCCTTTTTCTTAACATTTTATTAAAATCATATATGCTTTATTTTATAGCATATTGAAAGCAAAAAATATTTGTTTCCTATTTAATTCTGTTTTATATTTCGCGGACTCTTAATAAATACTTTCTAAGTGAATTATTCCTAAAAAATATATAATAAATAAACTGAAGAGAACAAATAGTTAATCTGCGGCTTGCAGCTTTAATTAATAGCATAATTAAATAGAACTTGCAGCTCAGATATTAAATATTTTCATCATATCATATGAGATTTGGTCAACTTAATTTAGTTTAGTCAATTATTTAGATATTGCTGCTTGTATCTGTATCTGTTCATATATCATCCTTTATATACATAAATATATATCGACTATATAAATTATTTATCATAGCAAATATTAAATAGTAGAAATATATAATAATAATACAAAAATATAATATTATTTGTTATGT